CACAATAAAAAATAAAATAAAACACAAGGAAAGAATAAGACATAATAGAATTAAAAATTTATATTAAAATTTACAAGTTTTCTTCGAAAACTTTTTACATGTATGCCACACCTCACACTTAAACTTAAGCATTCAACTATCCATCTGCAAGAAGGTGACAGGTAGAGGACAGTAAACAGGGGGCATGGGTGAGCGTAGAGCACAGTAAGCATAGAGTACAGGGAGCATGGGTGAACATAGGGCAGAATAAGCATAGAGTACAGGGAGCATGCGTGAGCGTAGGGCACAGGCTACAGGAAGCATGGGTGAACATAGAACACAGGGCGATTATGAGTAAGGGGGACAGAAGTGACTGGGCACGTAGACCATCAGTGGCGATGAAGGGAAGAGAGATACAGAAAAAAAATAGTTTAGTATTTGAAATGAACAATTGAATTCAACTTTCAAGTTTGACACTACTCGCTTTTTATTGAATCAGTTTTTCTTATAATATGAAATCCTCACTCTTCACAGGGGCCTCTAGTTTATATATATTAAACAATAATTACAAAATATCCATGAAATTGTGAAGTTGATTATTCATAAAGAGAAGTTTCTTTTCATTTTCATTTGAGTATCTATCGAATATAAATACTAGAAAATTGTTTTTCTTAATACTAACTCTGTTTATTGAAGTAGATCAGAAAATACTAGTGACATACTCATTCATACAAAGTACTTCAATAAATCAAATTGCTTTTTTTCTTTTACAAATTTTTGTTTTACTGATATGAATTTAGTTTCTCTTGAATGTGTACAAAATATAACTGATGAAATTCATCATTTTTATGATGATTAATTACATGAAATTCTATATCATATTAGTTTTATTTATATATCAGTTTTAATCCATTTAATCATATTATTGTACTCTGATCTATAATTCTTAAGTTTTTATTCTCAGTTACTCTTTATCTTTCTTTGTTCCTTATAATCTCTTCGCTCACTGATACAGATTTCTGAGTCTGGATTCGAGCCTATATGTAGATATAACTTTAGATCCCATTTATATTTAACATCAAATCTGAATAGAAGTATCTGACAAAATCAACAAGAAATAGTTTTATATTGACATTTTTTCTTGAAAGGAGCCAGTAAAAAAAAGCAAAAACCTTGATGACGTGTTTATAGAAATATACATGACCTGAGAAACAAAAAAAATCGAACAACGAAAAACTAAATAAACCAACTGATCAGTAAAAAACAACATAGTTTATGATGATCGGCAAACTTATTTGTCCAATAAATCGTTTTGAAACTGGATATGTATGTTGTCAACCAGTTCTTTTAAGATTATTTGTATATCCCGCATTCTAGAAAATAATCAACAAAAAAAGACTAAACAAACGTTATTATATTTTTGATCAATGAGAATATCTACAGTTGTAGGAACCTAATATAAAAGAAATCGAAAAAAATCTCATCAAAATCTAATACCTTCTATCATTTTTTGCATAGTCAATATGCATTCAATCAAAATTCATATGTTAATTGAGCCAGCTTTTTCTCATATCTCAAAATAACCTTCTCTTTAATTTTGAAGAATCAGTAATTTTTTTATAAAATATATGAAAATATCTTACTGATTAAGTGCTTCAATAATTTCGTTAAAACCTTTTCCTTCGTGTTTTACATTATCAGCAAGTTCCTCTTCTTCCTCATGTTCACATTTAATTATATCAAATACGACTACATTTTCGATATCATCAATATTATATGGAAATTTCTTTTCACCCTCCATGCACATTGTAAATGATTCATAAGCTTGTTTAAGCATGTCTTCACTTGTTCTGGCTTGAAAAAAGCCAGTAAGTTGGAAGGAGTGATCGTGATAACTGCCATAGTAATAACCTTCCTCATCAATATTATATATGAGAGGAAGATGATATTTATTATCTTTTGACGAGAATTTATTAATATCAAAATTATTGGTAGATGACATGATACACCTAAGGATAATTAGTAAAAGAACAAAAAGATGAGCATATTGCCTCGCATGATACGACTACGACGGCGGCCAATTAGGATAATATCGTGATTTAACCAAATAGAATGTATTACTAACTAATTTTTTTGTTT